AAAAAAAAACGAGATTTTCGCGCCGACTTTATATGGCTGCGTCTCCGATTGGTTAGAATAAGAGTTATATTCCATAACCCTGTTATAAATGGCAGAGATCAAACAGTGTATATGCCCTAGATAGAGTGGCGAGCTCACTCAATGTGAAACTTTTCAGCGTGAAGATAATTTGTTACAAAAGGTAAACTACCTTACCTCTTCCTTTAACAAATAAAATGTCATTGCATCAGGAAGTTCTTCTGTTAACTGGGAACTACGCAACTCATCAACTCATAAGATAGTTTTAGAAGTGGAACCATGAATCGTATGCATGACCGAATGCGTATCGTGTTCATCTCCGTTGGTGTAGCATGCTTTTATGTACTCTTCTTTTACATCGAATCTCAAACGGCAAGCAAAATTTCTCGGGATCGCGAGTCTTCTATGGCGAAGAAAACACAATGATTTCACTAGATTATTCTCTTAGAAGTCCACTTTTCTTACCTTTGCATTAAAGCCCTTACACAATAATGATATAAAAATTAGTAACTCTGACTATCATGCACCCAACTCATCGAACTGATGATTCTTACTAACTACTAGGGAGATTTAGAGCTTTGATATTCGTTTTATTCGGATTGTCTTGGTATTCGTATAGTTCATATCCATGTAAAATAGTGATTATCTCAAACCAGTCGCAAACCGGTGATAACTTATTTAACAGTCTTGTATGAGCTGATTATCTCTCTGTACTATGTGTGCTAACAATGCAGGGAATAAAGAGTATTATCAATACTTTGTTTTTCTTTGCCTTAAGGTATCGTACCTGTTTACTTTTTCAAACCTTTTATGAATGTTGGTCCTTCCTTAATCTACTTTTTTGAAAGTTCTCATCTCATTATCAGCAGAGAATGGGCATATTCCGTAAAGTATTCATGAATGCAGCTGGAATTGAGGTAAGTTCATTTTTTTTTGAATATTGTTTTGAAATATAGTAAATTTAGCTTACATTTTAGGAGCCTAAGAAAGGTTCGTATGAGTGGAAGAAGGAAAATCTACCAGCTGCACAACTAGATCGAACCAGTGATAATGAAGCAAGATTCAGTGGAGTATGTTCCAATTCAGTCATACGGAAAAATTTATTGAAATTCATGCAAATGCTGTTTTGAGTCATAAGGTGTTGCGTGATGATCTGTTCCTTCTATTTTTTCCACATTCGCCAAGCTTGAATTCTTCAAGCCAGAAAGTAGAGCTTGACTTTTTCGTAATGAAAGTAAGACATTTTTAAACGTCCATTTCTGCACTGTTTTCATATCTCAATACCAGTTATTCGTTTCAGATACCAGCTATTCCCAGCGACATTGGCTTCAGTAGCGGCAAAGACACGGGAGGTTACAAAAAGAGTGGTGTCCTTTCTCAAGCAGCAACCAATCCTGGCGTTATCTTGGGCATGGGCCTCACCACATTGGCCTTGCTTGGCATGTTCAGGTTGGTATCGATA